GGTTTATAATAAAAGTTAAAGGTGATGTTAGACTCTTTGCACATCTTTTTAACACTTTCGTGCTTAAGTCGTCATAGCCAGTCGAGTTTGTGTTTCTTAAATTATGGATTATCTTGTAAACATCGGATTCATCTACTGGTGTAAGAAAAATACTATTTGAATTTTGAGGAATTGTTATTTTAGTATCCTGGGTATTTTTATGAGTAGTTTTTGTCGGATTGGTTAGGGATACAAAATATTCATTAAATAAATTACAAATTTGGTTTGGGTTGTCATATTTTTTACCATTAATATTAATAATGTCAATTTCAGAATTATATGTCATATTGTTTGTCTCAGTTTTAATCATGTTCCATGCTGCCTTACATGTATTTTTAGCTTTATTAATGTAGCGCATGCTATTAATCTGCTGTGCACTATATATACATCTTTTCAATATTCGCGCGTAGTCGTCATATTTTTTTTTATTTTGTTTTTTATTATGTTTCTGAATGTTATATTTAAGGTACAATGTCCGTTTTATTATGCAGCATCTTTTTATGCTTTTTGTTAGACCTCTATTTTTTATTGTTTTTAAAGTATTTTTGACTTTCACTATAGGGAAGCATAAATTGTAAAACAAGGTAATTGTATCATGTAGTTTATCGAATGCGTCATTTGTATTTTGGGCTTCGTATATTTCAGAAAACGATAGGTTTGACATACAGTTTTCAAATTTAAGTATATTTTCGTCGCTGAGTTCTCGTACACTTTTAAACCAGGAGTTGTGCATGTCTTTAATTTGACAATCAGTATCTAAGTTAACTGTTATAGATTGTGCAGTTTCATGGTCTGAAAGCGCTAGATAGTGAAGTCCAGGTTTAGCGTCATGTATGTTACTTACAATTAAGTCTAAGCATGAGGTTTTTCTCGTAGGTAATTTGATGTGGTTTTTAAGATTATTATTATTAAGAATGGAATTCAGATCATTAGACGTTTTGTTTGTTTTCAGTATGTCAATATTCCAGTCGCCACATATGATTATTTTCTTGTTTTTTTTACTACATAATTTACTGGTTAGTTGTTCCAGATTGTTCAGAAATATCGACGTATCACGCGTAGGTGTTCTATATATGCATACCACCATTAGATTAAATTTCATAATTTCAATAGCACAGCATTCGAATTGAAGGGGAATACTCTGGGTGAGATTTTTAATTACTCGAAATTGTAGATTATTTTTCAATAAGATACATGCGCCTCCCCGGCGTTGGTTTGGTCGAGAAAAGAAGGATACCAGTTTATAATTATTAATTTTAAGGTTAGATTCACAACCACTTTTAAGGAACGTTTCCGATAAACATATAATATCTACGGAACCAAGCACTTTTTGTAAGTTCGTGATGGCTACCTCGATAAATTCTTGTTTGTTAAGTACACCAGCAATATTTTGATGAAGTAAGGTGACAGTCGTTCTATTATTTTCGTTCGAGAAAAAACCCAGTTTCCTTGGTATTTTTGTGTTGCTTTATTTTCTCAAAGAAGGCAGTAATCTTGGCTTGTGTATGTTTTCGCGGTACTGTAAATGTATTTATTTTGTTCTGGATATCGTGCTTGTTTTTAAATTGATTCAGTATCTCTACTTGGTATTTGCTGTAATCAATTCTAGTGTTTAATTTTAAGCATAAATGTGCCAGATATTTCTGATGATAATTTTTTGTGGAAGTATTGGTGACATGATGTTGGAATTCAGAATTGTGTATTTTTACGTATTTACAATTTGTGTAATTTTGTACAATTAGCTCGAGATTGTAATTAATCTTTGTTTCGTTTAAGTAAGGGTTATATTGGACGCTAGTAATGAATACAGTATTATTACGCAGTTTAAATAATGTGTTACATAATTCCGTCATAAAAGAGTAAGGGTTTTTATCATTGGACCCTATCACTAAAACTACAATGTCATTCTTGGTCAATGTCTTTAGGACGTCATCGTTGCAGCTATTCAGAATCTGAGTACTTGTTGCATGGGGTTTGATGAAAGAAGTAATTTTATAGTGGTCATTCCATTTGTCAGATCTAGTACGAGTCATAGTTTTATTTAGTCCCTGGGCCTGCTGGTCACCGAAGATTATAATATTATGTTTGTCAGTCTCTTTCTGTCTGTCAATTAATCCTTTATGCGCAGGATCTTTCATGATGTTGTGGTGGGATTTTTGTTGGTCCATCGGATGTAACCCTTTAAAATCGTCCTTCTCGTTCCTTTTGCAAAGTTGCGGTTGAGCGTGCTGTATTTCGTCAAAACGAGATATTGGGTCGGCTGTATTGAAAGAAATCTCCCGAACATCACTTGACGCCTGTATTGTTTCGGCATTGTCTGGTTGGTGAGTCATTGAAGGCGGAAGACTTAGCTTGGTCGGAGTAGAAATACAGCTTGTTCTTAGCATATTTCTATTGCGTGCTGACCTCGGCGAAAAGGTCTTTGTGTCTAATAGGTTCACCTTTTTATAAGTTTCAATTATTTTTTGATATTGACCTATATCCATTTTCAGTCTAAAATTTTCACTATTTAAGTTTTCGATTTCTAAGTGCGCGCTTTCTAATTCCATGCTTAGCTTTTTTATGGTGTCTTTATAACTAGTAACGTCGTCGCTATCGTTGATTGTAGTACTTGGCAAACTCATCATTGTACTATCGAGTATTGCGCTGTTATTGCTTATGTTGGTATCTAGGATATTATCAACTGACTTTGCCCTTAATGGCTTGCGGAAGGTAATATTATCCATTTCTATATTACTAATTTTAAAATGAACAAAAAATTTAGTTTTGAAATAAATTAATATGAATATTTGAAATGACGTTTCGTGAAATGGAACGTGAATGTAATAGTAGTAATTTATTTCATTCGACTTGCAACACTTTGGGAGCTGTCAAAATGAACGAATGAAATTGTCAGTTGTTGTTCTGCTACTCTCCGCTTGGGGTCCCAATGGCGCTGGTAGTATGATAATATTAGGGTTCAAAGTCCAATTTTAAATATTTTTTTCTTAACCGTTTACATTTTTCGTATTATTATTCGGAATGCTTATAAATCACTGAAATATTTATAGATATAGTCACTATTTGCGTTCAACGTTAGTTGTCGTGCTAATTGGAGCTTTATTTATTGTTTATAACAACGTAAACACTGTGGATTGAACGTTTAATATACTATAGACTTAAATAGTTCTGCACTTGTTATTGAGTGTCACAGATACTACCACTCGCTAGTTATGGCTAATGCACTCTGTCGCACTACTGTTTATACACTCACAATGTTTATTTATATTTTTATTTCATTTAAAGTGTGCGGTTAGTGTTACTTGGCCACGTCGCTATTGAAATTTAAACTCTATACTGCTCGTTACAGAGTTTGTTTTTGCTTATAGAGGCTTGTTGTTGAAGTTCACGTACATTATGTACGCAGCTGACCAAATATTGTAGTTGCGATAATTGGTCGTGATGCAATCGCGTGATCTCGCCGGATCCGACGTGAAATGATTTTTTTTTAGAAAAGTGTAAGTTGCATTTACGTAGGATTCTGTTTTTACCCGACTGCCAAAGAAGGAGGGTAATGTTTTAGACACTGATTACTGTTAAGTATTCTTGTTTACTTGTTTTTAAGAACAGATACTATCTCCTATCATTTCGCAATACTGGAGGAAATCCTAATAGGTATCAGTCCTAGTATATCAAGACTTGGAACAATCATTTCACATAAACATTTGTTTCTTGCGACAATCTAACCTGCAACACGGTATGCATCAGTTTATTGCCCAGCCACTATTCAGCCAATCTACTTTTCAATGATAAAGTTAATTTTGAAATTTATATTTCAAATCTTTTTACAACGTCCTTTCATTGCATTGAATCAACCAGTCGAGTTTTACTTTTGCTTTGACTCGTTATATTATGTATGTAAGTACCTATATGACTTCTTTGTTTCACGTTTCTAACACATAAACAAATACCAAAACTGAGGGTCACAAAATCATATAACATGCATAGGTGCACACACATGTAACACCCACTTTTCACTATTAATGTTATGAGTCCCATGTAATAGGGGGTGAGCTTATTGCCTAATACCGGGCACTGATTTTTTTTAAAAACCCAGTAATTCTTTGCCCGACCCGGGAATCGAACCTGAGACCCTTTGCCTGGTAGACCAAAATCAATGTTTTTTTAATACAAATTATAAACTGTGGCGTAGGCGATTCGTAGCTCGCTACGAAAATTAGGGAGCGTTCGTAGCATTAAGATTGTGAGTATCATAGAAATCCATTAACTAATTAGTTTTTACTTTTATTAGTATTTAGGTAACTAAATCAATATGTATAATAGATTTACATAACTATATCATCACGCTTTTAATTCTGGAAGATGTAGGTAGATAGAGGTATTTTGTAGGTAGGTAGATAGCTCATAATTATGTATTGTGTAGTACGTAACACTTACTTTTCTACCTACTCTTTGTTATAAGTGTCTCGTGTATTAAAGAGCGAGCCTATTGCCGAATACTTAACACTTCTCTGGACCCTGTGCTATTAGTAAGAATTTTCCAAAAATCAAAACATTTAATCATGTTTTGCTCGAATCGGCAATCTAATCCAAGACTGACCATTCGATCAACAAAGCAGCCAAATATTATAATTTAATTATTTAACTAAATCAATGTTTACCTTATAAGTGACTATATTTTGTTCCTTCGTAGCCAATCGCCTACGAAATTGCTACGAAATTATTTAGCGATAAAAATATTGCGTGGTTGTGTTTATTCCATTTCCGTAGGATTAATACTTCTTCAGAGATATCTCAGGAGAATCTATTTAATGTATTTACCTAATTAGCGATTATCATTTGGATATTAAATACTAATTATATTGTAGATTTAAAATCATTCGGCTTACGACTCATTATCGAATGTTTTATCAAATGATTTATATTCTGTAATTGAATGTGGTGGAAATAAAAGAGGTTGTATAGAATTAAGATTTTTTTATTTTTCTGTTTCATTGTACTGGTACTTAATAAAAATCAGTGCACAATTTATAAAACTAAATAATAAAGGAAAATGTGGGTGAATAATTTCGTGAAATGCGACCAAGACTGATATATTTGTGACACAAAGTTGTAAGGTTAGCTGCCTGCGGTCAGATTTATATAAAGTGATAGAATGAAACAATCACACTTCGTACCTCACATCTACCAACAACGCTTAGTATTTTGATCATTATTAACGCACCTCGACTAAAACTATAACAGTCTATTTAAAATTATAATACACCATAAGTAATAATTATGTATATAAAGATAATTAAAGCATCTTCACCTTAAAATCGAAATAAAATCATAAAACGTATCAAATCGATAAATTTTCAGTTAAATTTTTATATTCATTTACTTTTATTACATACACTATTTACATACTGCAACGTGCTAAACACAAATCATAAGTTAATAATAGAAAATTTGCGTAAAGCACTCACATAATATATTTTTATTAGAAACAAAATCGCCATGCAAAATCACACTCATGAAATAATAACTTAAAATAATATAATATACGTGGATCGACTTTCAATCGACCCACTTCTTTGATATAAATGGAAGCATTAGTTTTATAACTAAAAGATACAATACATAATAGTGACATCTTCGAAGAAAAAAAGATTTTTACAAAATTGAAAGACTACAGCATTTTGTACGTGAAGTGTTCTGAATAGTATTAAGAATCTATTTGTTACAAAATATATAATCTTTTGACGGACAGGACGTCCAGTGGGTGAACCACAAAATCACTCAACATACTTATTTACAAACATGGAAAATTTACATTCATTAGACTACTAACTATCTAGTAAAGCTTTTTACACAAAACATTTTAACAAAACAACCCGCGACGCTCCGGGGCCGCCGGCCGCCGGCCGCCGCGGCCGATTGCATTGCAATGCTCAAGTCTTCTGCGTGTAATGCCACAAACAATTACATTAAAGTAGTTTACTGATCCTAACGAGATCGTGCATAGGATATCATCTTCGAGGAGATGATGTTCACTGGAACTGGAGTCGGGCGCTCCCGTGCCGGCCCGGGGCGACCTCCGTCGCCACTCGAGGTATATAAACATTACCATAACTTATATTGTCTCTCTTAACTTAACACCATTTAGCAAGAGGGCCTGTCCAGCTGATTCTGCTTTTCTGGCGTCTGTAACAAAGAAAACAAATACATCAGTATGATATTGCTAACGGTTTAAAATCGGTGTATTGTTTAAGAGTCAATTTGATTTGATAACAGAAGGAAAGCCCATGTAATCGCTAGCGAGGGTGCAACTACCAATGATTGCACAGATGCGCGCGCACATGTAAGTACCCCTAACATCTGACACGTTCGCCGCGTAATAATTATGATATGAAAACTAAAGCTTGTTTAGTAAAGTTATTATAATGTAAGCGATAGGAACAATTTTTATTTATTACGCCCAATAAAGTCTCCCTCGTCGTTTTAGTGTTATTAGTGATTGCGACAAATAGTATCGTGTGGCACATGCGCATCCCGCGCCCGCCCGCGTCCGGCCATCTGTCACCACATATACGTTCATTCTAACAATGTTTTAATTCATTAGTGCCCGGACAATGGACCTCCTGTTATTTGTTTGTTCTAATGTATTAAAGTCTGTTAAAGAAGAGTTTGCTGGTTGAAACAGGAAAACAGGACTATGAATTCATAAAACATTTTTGGTGCGTTGAGTGAGACTTTTCCTAGCAGATGGACGACGGTGGCAATTTCAGTGTGACTTTCCGAGTATCAGCGAGTGTTAGATTACGGCTTCCCGTCCGTGCACATCCGCGACACAGCTGAACTGCCGCACGTGGCCACACCCTATTTACGGACACATACCGAAGGGAGAGCACACATGTCCTGAACGGATCGGGACATTGCGAGTGCGCACACGTGAAATCCCTTTATGAGACGAGTATTGTCGGTCGGATAATGAATAGGTATGTTCAGTGTTCGTCGCATTTATTTAGCTATCCGGCCACCGGCGCCGTCACGTGTGTTCACACGCAGCTGCGAGCGACCGTTACCCGCACAATGCCCTCGATCGATCCGTCGTCGATGGAATCCAAGTGATCGGCGAAATCGCTGCACGTGTGCAGGCGCTGCCGCGCTGGCAAGACATTTCGCGGTGAAGTTGCATTGTCTACTTGCCGACGCTGTGCGGTTTATTAGTTCGGGGAAGCGTAAAGGTGCTCGTAAAACTTTCACGTGCGCGATTTATGCGCGAGGTGCGCGGAGACAAAGATATTCAGAGGAGCGGGAGAGCGTGGGCGTGCAGCCGCGGACACCTGGCGGCTCGTTAGTGTCGCCTGTCGGATGGACCGGCCGAGCCGCCGCGCGCCGCCACTGTGCCCTGCGTGGGCGACCGACGCCTGCTGCTCACATATCGTTTACCTACCTAGTACCACACTGAGAACACTTGTTCGGACACAATGAAATTATTATTTACTTGCTTCAAATTGGCTTAAGGCGCAAGATAAATATTAATGTTCGATTGCTTAGTTCGTGACGATTAACAGTAGGGGTCCTTAAATTGGTAACGAAAGGCAACATGCGGGCCAGTAATTGGATGATTAAGTGATATTGACAAACTATATACTTTGTAGACTACTGCCTTTCTCTTGGTAAACTATTGGGAACGAATTGTTCATAATGTGTTCGTCTATGAATTTTGTATCTGATATGATTATTATGAATAGGGTTGCTCCCTTTATGTGAATCAAAGAGGGGGTGCCACCGCAGCAGATTACACGCCTAACAATCGTCATTACGGTACTTAGCAGCTTATTATGGTTGAAGTGTAAAGTCAAACAAGAACAAAATGGCGAATAGGGTAACTTGTTCGATACACACTAAATCAGAAAATGATAATGAAGGTGATTTTAGAGAGCAGTATCAAAAGAGCAGAGTGGATTGATCTCACGGCCTTTCGAACGCGGCGGCCGAGCAGCTGCAGGCTACAATTACGGTCGTCGTGGTAGAACGTGGCGTATGCTCGTGACCGGAGGTTTGTGGCACACGGCATACGATGGCCCACGAGATACCGTCGTGAAATGCCGCCTCACGACCACCGCGATGGAGATACAAATACCAGCACGATCGCTCCCAGCCGCTCTATTCTTTCTATGCGTTCCGAGCAACTAATTTCTTGTTTTAGGAAACGATGATCGAGTTGTTCGAGATGAATGTCCTTGTGCGAATGAATATTCCACATTTTGTATTCAAGAATGTGGCCAGATTAGTCGACATTCCAATAATATTGTAGGCGTTATATTAGTAAATATCTGGGGAGATCGCGATACTGCCGGGCGGCGCCCGACACTAATTAGTAGATGTTTGTTGTTTCTGTTTCGTCGCAGCGTGTGTTGCTATGTGTTCTATGACAATCAATTGTTGTGGTTGTTTAGAAAAAAAATAAGGATGAGATGGAAAGAATGAGAGGAAGGTTTTAAGATTAATCGGTGCCGTTGTTTTGCAGCATTACGAAAACGTTAGTACTAATGAAGTAGATACTTAAATTATCTCTTACAATCATAAAAACACGAAGTATTGCGCAGTTTAACGAGTTAAGACGTGAACGTGGTTTTACATTAGCCACGCCATTATATGGTTACTCTCAGTGTCGTTTGTCATGAGTGAGCAAGGTACCAAACCATTGCTCACGTTACAGCTGAATATAATTTAAAATTGTAGTGCATTTGTCGTCTTCTACGTGACACTTGCGTCGCTGTAAATACAGCAGGCACGTTGCGTCTCTTAAATCACGCTTGTTTTGAACATTTCCCTCGGTTCCAACTCTGGCAGTGATTAAAATTTACGTGGCGCGACCAAGTATTAACGAGCGCGCAATGCGCCTGGGGCTCGTAATCGCAAAGCGCACGAATAAATCCTGCGAGATGCACCTGCCGCATGCCGCGCCTCGCGACCAGACAACAGCGCTCAATGCGACCTGCAGCATTTTTAGTAGTCGTACAGTAACCAACGTCTAATTGCGTCTCTACAGACGTTAGCGACGTGCAACTTTGTTAATGTTCTGTCACGGTAAATGGGAATGACGAAATGGCAATCACACACAGGTGTCAGGCGGAATGTTAAACGACCAAGATAAATATGTGTTGAATATTCAGATTGTGTGTCAGTACACGGTCGTTTACGCGGCGCCGGCGCAGGTGGCCGCGCTTCAAGGCTGAAATTCAAAACAGCAGTCACGCATGCGTGAACAGTGGTTTACACTGAGACTGCTTATTTACCGAAACTATGATTTCATAATGAAACTCAGATGATCAGTAAGCCGCGGTGTTTATTTAACGATCTTATTTGAAAATAGATAATTAAGGTCGCAATAAATATTCCCAGGCGATTGAAGATAGTTTACGAGACGACAGGTTTACTGATGATTTAACAATCGATATTTTGGCATGTCTAACAGTTTCAAATGGAGCATAGTGTCACAGGTATTGATGGAGGTTTGCAATAATAATATTGTGATGGTGATGCGTGCCGGTGTGTTGTGAAACTCTGCATCTCCGCTTTTACCTTCCCGCGCTTGCGAAACACGCAGGTGCGCGCGCGCCGCAAAAACACCGACACGACCGATTTCATTTACTTTTTATGCAATAGTAGGTATCTCTCGTACTAACTAGTGCACAGCTACATTATCTCTACTACTGAAAGCCGCTAATAGCCGCCGCGCGTGATGTTTGATTTAGCTGCATTTGTTATTGTAAGTTAACTTTCTACTTTAGTAAATAAAGATTAAGTTAAAGTGTTAGACTGTTAGATGTTTGTGGCGGTGAACGTATTACTTTAATATATTTGATTTCCACTTATTTTGAGAGTAATTATAAGTATTTATTTATAGCATTAGTTTATTTCATTTATACGATGAGGAACTTAGGGGATACTTTAGCGATTACATGGTAAGTTAAATACAGCTTTAAGAATTAGTTACTACAGGTATGTATGTTAAGAGGAGTGGAAATAGAAACTTACGGTTGGTGTTCTGTGTTCTTGACTGGGGGTGGTTTTGCGCAGGATGGTATTGGGCGCGGCGCGGGGTCCGAGCGGGCGCCGGTGTGGGCGAGGCTGCGGCGCCGCGCAAGCTTGGCTGGCCAGCGCACCTTCTGCGTCAAACTGCTCCATGGCGGGGTGGTTCTCCAGCGCGGACTGCAGGTCGCAGATGTAGTCGATCACATGCTGGATCACCTCCAGCTTGGAGATCTTTCTGTTCTTGGGCATGAAGGGCACCAGGTCCTGTAGTTTAGACAGGTACATCTGGATCTCGGCATTCTCGCCGTCCCGGTGCCGCTGCACACGGCCGCTGGCGATGGCGGGCACGGAGGCGCCGGTCGCGCACACTGCTGTTATCGCTTTCATATTTGTGACTGTCACTTAACACGAACACTGGGTTGGAACTAAACACGAGCGCGTACGTGCGTCAGGCGCGGGTTGCGAGCGAGGAATGAGGAGATGCGCGTAGCGGGCTTGTATTTATGGGCGCTGGTGGGGCGCGGGGCGGCGCCGGGCGGTCCAATGGGCGCGCGGGGCGGGGGCGGGGGCGGCGAAGCCTGATTTTTCCCATGGCGGTGGGCGCCGCGTCTGCCGCGCTGGGCGGCCCTGAGTAAGGCCGTTGCGCTCGTGACATGCACTTTGTCCTGTCTGTAATCTTGTTTATTTCTGGGTTCTTAATTATTACGATGTTTATTTGTTTATATCATATTCTATGTGTTTTATATAGGATCGGTATTTCAGTTTTTTATATAAAGTAGAAAAACGGCTTTACCAATAACAATTTATCAACAAAACATTTGCAACTCTGGCCAATTAACCTCATAAAGAACTATAACTTCACAAAGGTGGCTTCTGATATAATTGAATCGATGTATTTTGATAAGCCTCATTTCGTCGTTTACTTATTACAATTTTGTAACCTATATGATCTAACCAGTCAGTGTAGGCATTTACTGCTGTTTGATACTTGCCTTATAATAACGTAAATACTAAATCACAATTACTTACCACAACACCTTCATACGTAGATTTTTTTTAAGGGTGGTTTATCATCGAATGACTGCTCCCGCCTGGGTGAGGCGGGAGGGAGTGTCAGACTCTTACTGACTAAAAACCACCCCGTTCCTTCTCCCGCACGTCGAGCCGGAGCCCCGGTAACCCGTTAGGTTCTCCGCGACATGCGTATAGGTATAGGTATACATATAAGTAGTGGAAAGATAAGTTCATGATGGAAAATAATAATAAAGGAAAAAATAGGTTCTCCGCGACATTCATACGTAGGTAGGTAAGTACTAAGGACTGTCACATACTGAAGTAGTACTTACTAATTATACTGAAAATAAATATGTTTTATATTTATTTTCAGTATATTCTTGGACTTTAGACCAATTTAAGGGGATGTTTATGCTTGTGAGACTATACGAGGCGGTTGGGTGGGGGGAGTAGGCTGCAGGGGTGACGAACAATGGGTGAACGTGAAGGCATCCACTTGTCGCGCTCCCACGGCGACAGGTCCCGGAGGCTGCGCCTGCGCAGAAAAAATCACCTTTGAGATTTGAGACCTTTTTTCCTTTCTATTTAATTTGTAGAAACATAAATCTTCTATTATTAAAATATAATTGTTTTTTAATTTTATATGTTGTTTGTGAGGTGTTAACATTTTATTTGAATTTAATAGGTATTTGTAATTTTCGTACTTTTATTTAATTTTTTTTTCTAGAGGTTATTAAATATCATTTAGTTAGCACATATCGCACAATATCGATCTTTATCATATTTTTATTTACAAAAAGTATGTCTATAACTTTAACATATCAGATCATTGCTTCTATAGTAGCTAAAGTATGGTGGATAAAAACTTAAAGAATGTCTAAGTTATTTTTTAACGTAATTCAGATCCTGTTCGACGAGTCACTAAAGCACACCGCTGTAATTAATCAAAACAGTTTCAAGCCATAACATCTTAAAACGCCATGTGCCAATTAATTTTATTTGTGAAAAAAGTAATAAGCGTGCAATAACAACTTTTTTGGACGTATTATGTTGAAGATATTAAACTGTCAAACACCAAGCGGTCACCGGTGACCGCAGCCTATTGTTCTATAATTGTGTCTGCGAAACCGGTACTCGACGAGTTAAATTAAGTTGGTACTTAGGTGATATTCAAATGTCTACAACCGTTACACGTTAATAATTAGGTACGCAAATAAAGAAAGCATGAGGTTTTCCATTCGCAGATAACATTCAGTAACAAATCATCCAGAGAAAATGTACCTTGTGGATAAAGATTTTAAGTATTCTTTTCTAAAATAACAATCATCCGGTAAAATCTTTGGATTCGATTCTTTATGATACTCATCAATCATTAAAAGTAAAAAAAATGTTTTTTCAGAATTCACTAATAAAATAAAACAGAGAACATCCACATTAGTCTACGTCGAACTATTTCACCCACTGTGACATCGTGATTTTTTCACTGAAATTGATGACTAGAATCCGAGATTGTCACAAGCCTGACGTAAACTTTAAGTAATGGACTAAGATTTATGTTTTACTACAAATTAATTAACTTACGGCGCTACTAATGGCTTAGGTATTTATATAACCGCTTTATCGTTTGACCACACAGAGGTCCAAATCGCAATAATAATGGTCATAAAAAACGACGCGGCAAAAAGTCACGAGTCACCTTGAAGGCGGGAGTAAGGAACTCAGGTAGTGAATTGCTTCATTTTGAGTTATTTGGACCGGCGTTTAACGTTATAATGTGATTCGATAAATTGGAACGTACGCTGGGACGTGACGAACAGTAAGTGTATTGTTGGCTTGTTGATGTCCGTTGAAACGAGTCTCGTTTGTTACGGAAGTGTTCAAAAGGTGAACTATATTTTTATTTAATCTTACTATGTTGAATGTTATGATTTGTTAAATTTGAGCAGCCATGGAAATGTTTAAGTGTTTTATGAAGAAACATCTTTTTCTTTGTTTGTAATATCCAAAGCGTTCGTTCAATCGTCCGCACCTTATCATTCCAATAAAATTATAACCATATTAAGTAACGTAGCGATAATACGAAATAAAAAGTATTCGTTTTAAGATAATCAATAGCATGTAGACGTGTCGACACGGCTACCTGTGAAATTAGTTGTCGCGCCGAAGAAATTTATTTGTGTTGACGGATGTATTGTGTCCTCACGTTCCGGACTATTGTCCACTGGGCGATGGTCATTTCGCGTGTTGCTACACTCGGCACCTCGCCGTGCAATTGACGGAATATTGTTTTACTTGCACAGGTATCTTTTAGGATTAACAAAAAAACTCGAGAAAAAAATGAAGAGCCAACTCCATTTCCATCCTGGGCTTTTGGGTTCCATTGGCTTTTGTCCTTTTTTTTAATCCGGTTAAATAATATTTTTGTTTGTCAATTTTTAAATATTTGCTCCTGTTTTATCTTATTTTCTTTTGAAATAACATCTGAAGTGGTGCAAAACGATGGTACTTACATTACTGTGTACCTTTCACATATTGTAGGCAAATCTGAAATTACACAGTTATTCTAGTCACGTATTGTAAAGCAGTATGCATGAGTGGTCTTAGATTTTATACTTGAATGCGGAACCCAAAATTTGGAGACGATGAAAAAATAGTACACGGACATAAACACCTCGGAGTCCGAAACGATGACAATGCGTAAAATGTTTTTATGGCTGCGTAAATATTAAGTGTCTGACCAAAAAAATATTCGTCAACAGCCTTTGTTTGCAGGTGTCGCGTATTCTCATGAACCTTTAAATATACAAGTGTGAAATTAGTTATAACGGAAATGCATGGTTCTATAATGATGTTACTGAAACTGATTTACAAATACGACAATGATGGTGACATAAAAGTTAGTTGTGCTTACAGGTATCTTTTGATTGAACAAACAAATATATAGACTATTGGGGTGGTAACGATATTGTTGATGTTGACCTCCCGGTAAGGTTCTCATGGTAGCACGTCTTAGAACTATTACAATTGATGTCAAGTCGGTGGTTTTTAGTCAATCAGAGCCTAACACTCTCTCTCGCCTAGCCTTACCTTACCCAAGGCGGGAAAAGGTATTGGATGATTTTCTTCCCTCAAAAAATTACTCGTAATTCCGTCATAATTTTTAAAGTCACTGAATTCTAACAAAATTTAAAGTATCCTCGATTGGTTAACATATGGACATGAATAATGAATACGTTTAATGTGAGAGGAAATGCATGGCACTGTGCAAGAAATCTGAAATTTTATTATCTGGTCGTGTACCTAACGTACCTAAATAACATTTATCATATCGATAACAGATTAACGATATAATTATGTATCTTTTAATTCAGACGTCATCGTGAAAACATACTTATACCTCGTCGATGCATTAAGTGATTATACAATAGAGCTTGTATGATTACAGTGATTGTTTTTAATTAAATAGTAGACCTGCGATTACAAGAAAATAATATCTAACAACCTTGGATGCAACATAGATCCATATAATTGCAAGATAAATAATAATGAAATAAGTAAATAGAAGATATTATTGTGCTGTGACAATCTCTACGTCACTTCAGCATTCTATTTATTGGATATCATTGTTCATAATGTATGAAGTCTTTCCATTAAGGTCTGTGCATTAGGTCGGGGTGGAGCGTTTACCCTCGCGCGTGTCGTGGGAGTGCCGGACGCGTGCCGCTCCCATCACGCGATACACCCCGATTGATCAGTGTTATTTGTTACAATATTACTTATATTACTCCACGCATTGTGTACCCGCGGTTAAGTGTTGTTCAAAACAATAGTTTCGAGCGCTTTATAAGACCCATTTGTTTATGTTTAAAGGTAGGGGTGCGTTCTAATCGTTTGTCATTAAATTCGCATGTTGTTAATTTGTATCTCGTAGCAGATGAAACCACGTAGCCCTTATAATGTAATACGTTACACAATGTATGCTATTAATTAGCTTTTTTATCGTATTAATTTTTTATTTACTCGATTCTATTAACACGGTTTGGGAATTGAAAATGTAAAGTATACTTATCTATATACCTACGTAGTATCATTAGATAAATTGCAAAGTACGAAACCCAATATCGTAGCCAGCGGCCATAATCAGCCCTCGAACAATATTGGCTAGCCATTATTGTTCCTCGGCGTGTACTTATTGACAGAACAAACAGTTCGATCCGTGTGATACCCTCCGCTCCCACGGGAGGGCGCGAGAAATCCCTTAATTCGGACAGTGCAGGTGCGGGCTCATTACGCGCTTTTCCGGCACGTGGCGGCGCGTGTACTGTGCACATATCGACTTTACTTTTAGGTTGAATGCCTTGCACGCACTTAGAATATTACTTTGATCGACATAGATTAATTAAATGCTATGTATTGGCGCCTGTTATGTAGTAGAGAGTCGATTATGTATGAATGTTTTGTGTCGGTAGTTC